CTTGAACTATAAATCTACAACTTCGGATTCATTCGTGTTTAATGCTTAGAATGATTTAAATGTAAACATTAAGTAGATGAACTACCTTGGAATACTTTTAGAAACACCATAACCAAACCTAACAGGTATGTAGTACTTGTTCAGCACTATACTATAGAATGTTTTTCAACTTGAATCGATGTGAAATAATGTAGAAAGTTTTAATATGAAGTTTATCTGTAAATAACTTTTGATAACTTTCTATATTCTTGGAATACTTCATGACTAATAAAGATCTATGTAATATTATCTATATGGTTGAAAGTGACTAAATATATGGACAACACACACACATACACACAAATTACTTTAACGTTTTGTTTATTTCTTTCTTTATTTACACAATGATTGTTTACTCCCTCTTCTTCTTCTTCTTCTTCTTCTTCTTCTTCTTATTATTATTATTATTATTATTATTATTATTATTATTATTATTATTAGTAGTAGTAGTAGTAGTAGTAGTAGTAGTATTGACTTTTATGATCATGAATAAACGATTATTTAATTCCTTCTATCCTTTTTTTTCAAGTTTACCATCTCATCCAATATAATGACTTAATTTTAAAATATTTCTTGAAGCATATTAATCTATTTTCTTTTGTTTGTTGTTGGCTGAGCTTTGAAAAACACCATTTTGTTCACTGATGTCAAGTCAAGTTGACTTCTATGTGTATGTGTCTAGATATATGTTAAGACAATGCATATATGTGTATACTCGTAATAGTAATGGTAAAAAAGGGCAATACATTCCATTGTGAATCTTACTCACTAGTCAAGTAACTGATAAATAACATATTAGTATTATGTTGGAAAGTCTACCAGTAAGCCAATATGATTATCATTATCCTTATTATTGCTCATACATTCGTAGTCTCTATTCGATAACCATAATTCATTTTCTTTTTTTAGGTGTATGTTTCAAAGTAATAAATTTTATTACATTGAAAACAGTTATATATTTAGAGAGTGGTGGTGGGTTTGTGGAGATTATAGCAATTTTTAATAGTTGAGATCATGAGTCAATTGAAGTTAGACCATTATAGAGAATTTGGAAGCATTGGATGGTTGTTATATATTTAGGAAACAAATTCGTCAAAAATAATCTATTCACATTGTAATCCATTGTATTATGGTCTATGTAAAGAATAAATCATTAAGAAAGACACATTAATATATATTATTACTTACTTTTAATATATTTTTACTGGATCCCTCTTCTATGTAGTTAATTTCTTCAGCGTCATCACAATTCAAAAAGAATAACTATGAGTAGAATGATATTCTATAAGCAATTCGTTGATTTAACGGTTGAATTCATGAGTCAGTTGTAGCTAGAACATAAATGAAAATCTGGAATTACTGGACGACCGTTTCGTTCTAGTATGAAACTCCTCATCAGTGCTTATCCACGATCCCACACCAGAGAGAATCCAACCAAAGACCTTTGGTTTCTCACGTGAACGCTTAACCTGTAGACTACTGAACCGGCATCCAATTGCGTTAGTTTCTAACTTTAACTAATGCATGGTAGTGCGCGACCATCCATCATTGTCTTCAGTAATTGCGTCACAACAGATACGGTTTAACTCCACTAGTCACGGCTTCAAGATGTATTCCCTGAAGTTCTGGTGAGAAGTCGTGACCAGCGGAGATTAACTGTCTGTTGTAAGGCAGTTATTCACTGAAGACAATTGTGGACGGTTCACTCAACATCGTAGATTGGTTGTAGTTAGACACTAACACCGGCCGGGTCAGTGGTTTAGAGTTCAAACGTTCGCGTGCGAGACTGAAGGTCCTGAGTTTGAGTCCCACTTGTAGCATCGTGGATGCGTATAGATGAAGAGTCTAATACCAAAATGAAACGTCTGTCTAGTGGTTCTAGGTTTTTCATGGTGATCTCGATTAAATCGACTCATGAATTCAGCTATTACAATTACTATGGTTTCCACAAAACCCTCATTCTGATAACAACTCATTGATTATCAAAGTTATTTATTGATAAAAATGAGTGATTTATTCAAGTATTCTTTATTCTTCTCTTAATCATATTTTCATTATCGCTATCATGGATATAAGTAAATAACGATAATAATAATTTTCAATAAAAGGGTATCACAAATAAATAAAGATTTACCTTCTTTGCTTACTAATAAAACATTAATCTATACTCTCTTCTAATAATATGACCTATTATTGTTTGTTTTATTTGTACCTTTAAAGGAAACGAATAGAAAACAATTAAAGTGATATGTATATATATATTCGAAGTGAAAACTGACGTATATATATATACGGATTTCCGTATAAAATATCTTTGAAGTTGTTCTTTTCTCTCTTAGTAATATCTGACCTCTCACTCTCTTGTTTGTGTAGTTCATTTATCTCTCTGTCCTTTTATCATTTTGTTTTGTTTTAAATTTCTTTTCATTATTCGTGATAGTTAAATGATAATATTAAGGAATTTATTAGTTTTTCTAGAATCAGTGAATAATAAATAAATATCAGGAAGCAAAGATGGATAGTGGCTATCAGTGGAATCCAGGACGCGCGTTTCGTCCTGTTTGGGACTCGTCAGCTAGATGTACCTGAATCTCAGAGTTGATGTTCACCCTAAGACTCGAACCCAGTACCGTTCGCTCCAAACGCCATCACGTTATCCACTTAGCTACTGAGTTCTCATAGCCACCTGCTTGTGCAATGGGTGAAGTTTAATTCACTTGATATTGTTTTACTTGAATATTCCCATTTATGTTTTTGGACTAAAATTGATCAGTCTCTTATTGGCATATGTGCATCGGTTCGAATCCCAGAGTGAACATCAACTCTGAGATGCAGGTACATCCAGATAACGAGTCCCAAGCAGGACGAAAAGTACATCCTGGATTCCACTGCTAGCCTCTATCCATCTTTGCTTATAAAGGTTGTGAATTAAGACAGTATTGAGGCAGTCCGCGCAAGACGCACATATGCCAATAAGAGACTGATCAATTGCAGTCCAAAAACATCAATGGGAAGATTCAAGTAAAACAATATCAAGTGAATTAAATATTAGAAAGGTTTTTGTGGATATTATAGTAACTCAATGAAGACAATGGTGAATGTGTCGCTTAATTTTGTGGATTGGTTGAAGTTAGACATTAACACCATTGGCAACCGGATCAGTGGTCTAGAGGTTAAGCGTTCGCGTGAAAGAGATTGATAGGTCTTGTCTTAGAATCTTGCCAGGTGGAATCGTGGATGCGCATTGTTCAGTCCCACAATAGGAAGAAACGGCCGTCCATTGTTTCTATGTTTTTTCATGATGATCTAGCTTCAATTGACTCATGATCTCAAACGTTGAGAATAAATAAATGTTTATCGACAATCTAAAAATAAATCAGTTATAATGTGTAACTGTTTCTTTTTGGTAGTTTTGAGATTCCTTTTTGATTAAATTCTATTTTAATGTTAATTTTTATCATATGTGAAATATTGTGACTGATTGAATTCGATCTTACTAAACACTCGAAGATAGTTGATAAGTAACTTCAGTGGTAAGTTTAGTATTAGTTTACATATTTTTGTAAAAGTTTACTTGGAGGTTCAAAGGAAATGATGCACCTTGTTGGGTATCATGCCCACAATTTCAAACCACTTAATATCTCAGCATACTTCATGTGATTTCAAGTTACAATGCCATATTGCAGTTTGATCAATTAAATGTGATTAGCATTAAAGGACTAGTCAAACATGTCAATGGTCACTACACAATGATCAATTAATTGTGAGTCTAACTGTGTTGAAAGTAAGACAAAGATCATTGGTGGTATAAGATGAATGTTATACTATATTATCCATTGATTGTAACTGATCATATAGACTTGTCTTATTCACCATTAGACTTAAATGTTTTTCATCAGTCGGTGATTGCTCACTGTTGAAGAACCTTAAAATTAGACAAAACAAATACTCATGTCTTATTAGCTTTAAAGTAATCTCCATCAAAACTATTCATCTAATTAAGTTTAATTTCATATAAGATTGATAGTTAAACGTATTTAATTATTAAGGTCAACAAACAGTATTACCATTTTAATAGCTGAGATCATGAGTCGATTGAAGCTAGACCACTATGGAAAACCTGGAAGCACTGAATGGTCGTTTCGTCCTATGTTGGGACTCCTCAGAAGTGAGCATCCACGACCTTACCTCATGAGATTCGAACACGGGACCTATTAGTCTCTCGCATGAGCGCTCAATCTCTAGACCATTGAGTCGATATCCAATGGTGTTAATGTCTAACTTCAACCACAATTAATTTCGTGTCTAGTCCTTAGTAGTGCAGATCGAATGCTACCGACCATGTTGCAATATGGCCACCAGTCAAGGTGACTCGACACGGCGTGCACTATAGTAAGATTTGATGGTGGTTGGAGGTAGTCAACAAGAAACCCTGGACCCGGGTTTCGTGCTACTTGACACTCGTCAGCAAGGTGTGCCTGTAATCTTGAGGGAACTGCTGCGTCCCTGACGGATTCTATCCCATGTCACCCAGCTTAACTATCAGAGACGTTACTACTGGGCTATCCGAGCCGCGACCGACCTCGTGTAGGACTGAGATGTAATCATACTAGATTGCGTGTCTAGTCGTTATTAATGCAGATCGAATGCTATTGACCATGTTACGATGTGGAGTTTCCTGTCAACTACCTCCAACTACCATCTAACTTCAACCAATCCACGAAATTATTCCACCATCCACTGATGTCTTCAGTGAGTTATTATCTCTCAGTGGAGTTCAACGCTTCCAGATTTTCCATGGGGATCTAGCTTCAAATGACTCGTGATCTCAACTGTTAAAATTACTATAATATCCACAACCCCTATCCCTTCTGATAGTATTATCACTCTTTTATATTAAAAAAATAACATTTCTCATTTTCATTCTTTTGTTTTGTTTCTCTTCGTTTTTTTTAAAATAGGTGATAAACCTTATTCATGTTCTGCTTGTGGTGTAACATTCACTCAAGGATCATCATTAAAATTACATATACGATCACGTCATAATGATAATATTAAATATTTTTCATTAATACGTAAACCAGGTAAAAATAATTTAACAAAATTATGGACAAGAATATTAAAAAAAGATTTACCAAAATTTAATACATTCAAATCATCATCATCATCATCTTCATCATCATCTCCATCTTCATCCTCTTATTATTATTATCATTATTATTATTATTATAATTATTGGAATAAATGGAAAAATATAAAATTAAATAATCAAATTAAAAATCAATATAAAAATCAATTAAATTCGAATTCAAATTTTATTGATTCAATATTCAATAATATGAATCATAATAATAATAATTCATTATTGATCAATGATAAAAATATTAAAAAAATCATTCAATCAAATAATTGGAAATCAATAAATTTTAATTTAAAAATGAATATGAATAAAAAATTTAATCATCATCATCATAAAAAATATATAAATTATATCCAATCAATAAATAATGATTTAAAATATAATGATCAAATCATTCATCGTAATCATGATCCTGATCAATATGATATTGATCAAATCAAATTAAATGAACAATTAATAAAACAAGAAAATATATAAATTAAAATTAAAATAAATGAATATAAATATAATTGTAAATATTTCATTGAGTAGGAAAAAATGATAAATGATCTGATGTTTCGTCACTCAAAGTAAGCCATTTCTTCAGAGAAGAAGTTGAAAAAAAACATAAAGATAATATATTCTTGTATTGTTCAATGTTTACTCTTTAAACTTGTATGAATTATGATTTGATTGTTTATTCACTTTGAAGAAGTCACTAACACTGAGTTACGAAACGTTAGAAAATCTCATTTCTCTACTTGTTGGAATATCTATAAATTAATGAATTTAATGCCTAATTTATTCGAAATTATCAGTTCAAATGATAGTAATGATACGTATAAATTAAAACAGATTGAAAATGATTCAATTAAATTTTTATAAATGAATGAAATAATTATTCAAATGAATAGCATAATCATTTAATGAATGAATAATTCAATGAAATGACAAGTAATTGAATGTAAACAATCTATAAATGAAATATTTTTCATAATTTGAAAATTTCTATTTCCATTCATCATTCATAAATCAATACCCAAAATTTATTCATTCAATTGATCTTAAGTAATATCAGATTGTGATCATGAATTGATCAATCAATGTTAGATCATTATTGAAAATATGGGATTAAAGAGTTCTATATTGAAATGAAATGACTAATCAATATTTCCAGGTTGTTGTTTTTTTTTTCTGTTTAAAATGTTGATCTAACATTGATTGATTTATGATCTTAATAAAAAAAATCAATAAATTGATTATATTAATAAGGATATATGATTATAATTATTAAAACAAATTAAAACGTTCATAATAATGGAATAATTAAATTTTAAACAAAATAAAGCGGTATTTTAAAATATGTTTAAATGAATATCATTTACCATTCGATTATTATTATTATGATTACGTCATTCCGATCAAATTAATTTTCTTTTAATTATATAACTTTATCATTAAAGGAAAAAGTAAAAAAAAGAAAAAGGAGAAGTAAAAAAGAAAAAAAAGCATTTTCGAGAAAAAATATTGATTTTTTTCTTTTTGAAATTGAGATAATTTATTATTATTCTTGTTGTTGTTGTTGTTGTTTTTATGATGGTTTATTTTTTATATGGTCCACTAGGGTACTTTGTACCTGTATGGTTGAGCCACAGGATTGAGCTGTACTATTCAGATTGTAGCGTTAAAGCCTATACGGTGTCTGGTTCCCTTGCTAAACTAGGTTGAGCTGTACTGTTTGGGTTTTCATGTGAATGTCCGGATGGTGTTTGGTTCTCCTGAAAACCAATGTAAAATTACCTTGGCCCACAAGGGTATATTATATAACTGTTATTTGTTATAATCAAGGTATTTGTTTATTTTATTTCCTCATTTAATTGATAAGAATTTTGGTTCTGATTTTTTTAATGAATTAGTTTTACTCATCATTTTCAATGTATGAACTTATCATTACATTCTAATAATAATTTTCTTTTGAAGAAAATTATGTTAATTCAAAATATTCATTTGTTTTTAATTATTTGATTATCAGTATAGGGGTTGTGGAGATCAGTAAATTTTTTATTCAGATCATGAATCGATTAATGTTAGATCACCATTGAAAACCTGGAAGCAACAGACGGCCGTTTCGTCCAGTTGTGGGACTCCGCAGCAGTACGCATCCACGATCCTGCCTTGTGAGACTCGAATTCAGGACCTATCATTCTCGCTTAACTTACTGGACCAGTGAGCCGGCATCCGATGGTGTTAATGTTTAACCTTAACCAATCCACGAGATTGCGCGACCATCTTCCATTGTACTGAAGTAGATAATTGTCTTTATTTGACACGGATTAAAAGTCCGACAATAAGACGAAACGGCCGTCCAGTGCTTCCAGATTTTCAATGGTGGTCTAGCTTAAATAGACTCATGATTTCAATCAATAAATAAATTTGTCAAAATAATAGTCCTTAGTAAAAAAGAAAAGGGAGCAATATTTTCAGAGAGATAAAATGGTTGTTGGAATATGGCTATTTTTTTTCTTCTTTTCATGAGATCAGGTTTTTAGTACTCTTTGTTTACAGTTGATGAAGAGTAAAGTCAACTTGGAGGTTAAAAGTATATTTATATAATATACATATATATTAACAAATGGACAGAGTAAATGCTTTTATTAAGCTATTCTATGTGAAATAAACTGACAAGAATAATAAACTTTAATCATTAATAGTATACAATTAGGTCATGAAAATGAAGAACGAATTGGTTAGATAAAATATCGTACCTGATATGAGGGTGATAGATAAGTTATGAAGTAATAAGATGTAAAAATGAGTACTATATTGATAGGAATGATCATAAGAACATACTGATGGAAAGAATACTCAAGTGGTATGTCAAGTAATAATGATAATAAGAGGGAAAAAATGGTGAATTTTTAATATCGTTAACGATATTGTTCTCATTAGACATCGATTCAAGTCATCGAGTTCTCACAATACTGATAATTGAAATCTTTTAACAATGGAAACAATAACTTGCCTCTCCAAAATTTCCAACAACATAGAAAGACTTTTACTTACTTACTTACTTACGCCTGTTACTCCCAAAGGAGCATAGGCCACCGACTAGCATTCTCCAACCCACTCTGTCCTCCGCCTTCTTTTCTAGTTCCATCCAATTCTTGTCCATTTTTCTCATGTCTATCTCCATTTCTCGGCGTAATGTGTTCTTTGGTCTTCCTCTTCTCCTTTGCCCTTCAGGATTCCATGTGAGGGCTTGTCTTGTGACGCAGTTTGGTGCTTTCCTCAATGTGTGTCCTATCCACTTCCAGCGCTTCTTCCTGATTTCTTCCTCTTCTGGGATCTGGTTTGTTCTCTCCCACAGTACGTTGTTACGAATAGTGTCCGGCCAACGGATCCGAAGTATTTTGCGTAGACAACTGTTAATAAACACCTGTATCTTCTGGATGATGGCTTTCGTAGTTCTCCAGGTTTCCACCTCATACAGTAGAACTGTCTTGACATTTGTATTGAAAATCCTGACTTTGGTGTTGATTGACAGGTGCTTTGAGTTCCAGATGTTCTTCAGTTGTAAATATGCTGCTCTTGCTTTGCCGATTCGCGCCTTCACATCTGCATCAGATCCACCGTGTTCATCAATGATGCTGCCTAAATATGTAAAGGTTTTTACATCTTCCAAATCTTCTCCGTCAATCGTGATTAGATTGGTGCATTCTATGTTGTATCGGAGAATCCTGCTTTTCCCTTTGTGTATATTGAGACCTACTGCTGCTGCCAAACTGTTCGTCTTCTCCTGCATTTGTTGTTGCGTTTGGGATAGAAGGGCCAGATCATCTACGAAGTCTAGATCGTCCAGCTGCATCCTAGATGTTCATTGTATCCCGTGCTTCCTTTCAGCTGTTGACGTCTTCATGATCCAATCGATCACCAGGAGAAAGAGAAAGGGTGAGAGTAAGCAACCTTGCCTGACATCGGTCTTCACTTCGAACGACTTTGTCAACTCTCCTCCATGCACGATTTTGCAGTTTAATCCATCATATGAGTTCTGTGTGATATTGACTAACTTCTGAGGCACGCCGTAGTGTCGAAGAAGTTTCCATAGTGTTGTTCTGTCCACGCTATCAACTGCTTTTTCGTAGTCAATGAAGTTGATGTAGAGTGATGAATTTCACTCAATTGATTGTTCCACAATGATCCGTAGAGTTGCGATTTGGTCGGTAACATAGAAAGAAGTGAACAATATTGTTTTCGATTAGATCCTCATCAGGTTTTACTCTAATATACAGTAATATTTACATGCATGTAACGATCTTAGTAAACCAAATCAAGGCAACTTTTGAGTCATTGATAACAGTGGAACTAGATTACAAATCGATAGTGTGATGAAATGTGTATTAGTTGAAATGAAGTAAAACATTTAATTGAAGAACTGTTTAGAACTAAAGAGTACAAGACAACATTGACTGATAATAATTATTAATGTCAGTTTGAGAATTCTATACTTCTTCATTCCCTGGCATCTTTTTCTTTTCTCAAATATACGCTTCACGGTCCAATTATCTGAACACCTCTTACTACGTAATCTAATAATCTTTCTATGAATGTTATTTCAGTGTTTTTATTTTTTATAATCATTGACCTATTTCCGATTATGTAACACTGATTCAAAACGGAGAACAGCGTTCCAATCACTCCTGATGGCGAAACTCTGGAAGATGTAGAATCCTTCACATATTTGGAAAGCATCACCGATGAACAAGAAGGTTCAGATGCAGATGTAAAGGCAAGGACTAGCAAAACAAGGGCCGCATTCCTTCAATTGAAGAACATATGGAACTCAAAACAACTATCTGTCAACCAATAACGAATCAGAATCTTCAATACAAACGTCAAGACAGTTCTACTATACGGAGCTGAGACATGGAGAACTACTACAACCATCATCAAGAATGTACAAGTATTTATAAATAGTTGTCTACGCAAGATACTCAACATCCATTGGCCGGATACCATCAGCAACAAACCAGCATCCATCTGAAGAAGAAATTAAGAAAAGACGATGGAACTGGATAGGACATACATTGCGCAAATCATGAAACTGCATCACGAGGCAAGCCCTGACTTGGAATCCTGAAGGGAAGCGGAAAAGAGGAAGGCCAAAGAACACATTACGTCGGGAAATAGAATCAGATACGGGAAGGATGAATAGGAACTAGAAAGGATTTCTCAGCACAGGGTTGGATGGAGAATGCTGGTGAGCGGCCTATGTTCCTTCACGAGGAGTAACAGGCGTAAGTAAAAAGTAAACATTGATTCAAGCTTTTATTATTCTTATCACAACTTGTACACCTGTCATCACACTATCAATTTGTACTTTTCACTTGTTATGTTTATTTATGTAATTTATTCCATTGTTATCATCATTAACTCATAAACTGCCTTGATTGGTTTAATAATTTCGTATATGTATATAAATGCAGTACTATGTGTTAGAGTAAACCGGATGAGGATCTAATCGAAAACAATATTCTTAGCTTATATCTATGTTGTTTGAAAATTTGCCTCTCATCTCATTAGATAAAATTGTTTTTCAGATAATGAAAATGAATATGGTGACCATTGAAAACTAAAAATTCTTTGACAATTGTTTCTTTTGCATTTTAGACTTGTCAGTTCTTTTTATGAAACAACTTTACTTGTAATATAATATACAACTTCCAGATTCTCACGGGAAACACTACATTTTCATACAAATGACGACAACTAATCCAATTTAATTGTAATAAAATTACGTCGTGGATGCGCACTGCTGAAGAGTCTCACAATAGAACGAAACGGCTGTTCAGTGCTTCCAGGTTGTCCATGGTGGTCTAGCTTCAATTGACTCATGATCTCAACTGTTGAAATCAGGTTTTAGTCATATGTGGAGAAATTTTTATAGTTCACTTTTATGTGAAATTTTTCGTGATAATTATTTTGAAAGATAAATTAATCTTGCCGTTTAAGGGAACTCAGTTTCAACAAAGTTATC